GTTTTTGCTTACGCACATAATGCTTTTATATGTGTCCTTACTTTTTAATGTTATAAGACCATACTTGGTTTTAATCTTTTTAATTCTATTACCTTTTTTACTTAACTTATACAGATTTAGATATCTATTACTTGTCCATAAATAGTGCAGAGGAAAAAGAACACAAGGAACTCACTAAACCAATCATTCTCTTGCTCTTAACACTTTAGAATAGATAGACTTTGGGCTTTAACAGTCCTTCCCCAAAGACCAAAGAAAAACACTAGACTAACATCCAATAACTTTGAAAGAACCTGAATTAGAGCCTGTGGGATGAACCCCGGCACGCTGAACACTGAACACTATCAGGGCAGGACTCTGAAACGTCCCTTTTCTGAGAGACAGTATTCCTGGAGGCTACGCCTACAATGAAGATGAATTTGGAATTTGAAGGAGGTTTTGGCAAAATAATTTTAGGCTGATATATAAACTACCCAAGCAGTTAAATATGGTTGTAAGTGTTGAGAGAGCGAGGATTCTGATTTTCCCTCTAACTCACATTAATAAAGAAGACTGTATTTGAGGAAAGCTGACTCATTAAAGGAAGGCGCCCATAACATGCAGATCAGTTGAGTTATCCCTGGGTAAATGTGATATTTGCTCTGCTTAGCATGCTTCGTTGCAAATCTTTACCATAAGGAAGTGGAAGGAGGGAAATAAAGAGATGAAAACAGGAAGGCACGAAAAGAGCAACAAACACGGTCAGGAAATCAGTCCGTCCTGACTGTGCCACTTGATAGCTATACAATGTGGGTCTTCCCCGTTTCCCACTGTGAATAGCAAATGGGTTTTGACTTAAGGATCTGTAATGTGCTATGACATTTCGATTATCCAGTAAAACTGGTTCCCTCTGTCTGTTTTCTAATAAGGCTCTTTTATAAGCTTTTCACTGAAAGACATCTCTCGTTTCCGAAAGCACTTTAGACATAGTGCGTAGGTCCAATTATTCCTAATGAAAGGAGAACCTTCAATTCCTCTAACCACCTGGAATCACGATTAGAGGTTTGGAAAGCCTTTCAGACAGAGGCTGGAGGGGCATCTATTTAGGGATACTAGTGGCCTATTGTGTTAGCAATTTATTCTTTGGCCAAGGTACAAGCTGCACTAGATAATCTCAAACGTCCACTCCAGCTCTCAGATTCAGTCTAGCACAGACATCATGCTGCTAAGTTTTTATCTAAAGTGTCTCACACCCTCCAGACACTTTGTGGAATTAGAAACCAACTGCATTTGCCAAACCAAACAGACAGGCTGGTGATTCAACTGCAGATTAGCAGGCGGTCTGATAATTTGCTGCTCTCTCTAAATTCTCCATGAGCTACACAGAGAGCACACATTTCTCCTTTTCTCCTGCCTCGTTCACTGTCTGTTAAGACAGTCTCATTTTCTCAGGGCTGGGAGCGGGGGGGGGGGGGCGGGGGGTCTTGTGACATTTTCCCAGGTTACCAAGACACAGTGCTGGGGCGGGGGGGTGGGGGTGGGGGGGGTAGCATCCTTTTCTATCTGTCAGCCTCCCTTCTGAGAATTCTTGATCACTATGAGAGACTTCTCAAGGCAATTGCCTGCTTAGCACCTTCCTCTCTCTCCTGGAGAATTTAAAGCCCCCACCCTCAAGAAATGCAAATTAAGTCCTCTTCAAAAGTAGCTTAAGTATCTGGCTTTGTAAACATTTCTTTACCATTAGGAGGAAATCGCAAATCTTTATTGGCCTTGCTGCTAAAGAGAATTCTAATTTTCTCAGAACAAGCTTCTGCTTCTCCTGCTCTGATCCCAGAGCTCCCCCTTGTGCCCTGATGAGAAACTGACTCAAGAAAGAGCTAAAGGTCAGCACATTTAGATTGTGGGGTTCGGCAGTTCCCCAGGGCAGCAGTTCTCAAACTTCAGTGAGCATCAGAATTATAAAACCCACCCTGTAAATCATGACATTGTAAATTAGCTTTTCAGAAACTAAAATGCAGAACAAAATTTGAGAATCTGTCTCAGAAAAAAAAAAAAATCTCTACAACATGGATTAAGACCAGTGTTTCTCAAATTTTGATATGTATCAGAGTTACCTTGTGTTTTTAAAGGCATTCCTGTCCTGAACACTCAGAGATTCTTTACGTGTTAGGGACGGTCTAGAAAATGGTTTTAAAATAGACACCCCAAGGGGTTCGGCTGCAGGGGATTTTAAGAAACCCTTGAAAAGACAGTTAAGGTTCCTAAGTAGGAAAACAGACTAGAGGTCAAAGCAGAAACTTAACATCTCCTCTCCTCACAAAAAAAAAAAAGTCACTTAACATCATGAGATTATTTTTCATTATTACTTTAAAAACTCAAAACCTATTTCAGGATAGTTAAAGAGAGATATTTTCTAAAGGATAGACTAGTCTTTTAGCAACGTTATCTGCTCGATGCAGAGATCTGGAGGAGGCTTCACAAGTCATCCATATAGACTCCTAGAGGCTAGCGCTAGACCCAAGGAGGTTAGTTGCTAGGTCCAAAAAGGACCTCAGAGGTGCTAAAGAGAATGAGCAATCTGCACTCAAAGCCATATCGGAGAACAGTTAAAGAATCTCTGATCTGCTGCCTGGACCTTAGCATGGATGCTAGCCCACGGATCTTCCACTACGTGATATTTATGATACTTGGGGGGACCAGAATGAGTCATCCCAAGATATGCCTCTGTGATATGCAGATTACTCTTTAAGCTAAAGGCACTTTTAACTTCAGGCTCAAGATAAACTTTGGCCCCTCCCTTTACTATCTATAGGGCAGGGCACACTTCTATTTACTAAAAGTCTGTTCTGATGGTCCTGCAATGACCCTTTGAAGACCCCAGGGTGCATTACCTCATCCATCACTCAGGATGACTTGTACCTCAACCACCCTCTCTATCTCTGAATCTTCCCTGCAATGTGGGGTTTCCACACATATGTATGCATTAAAGTTGGTTATTTTCTCCTGCTAATCTGCCTCAAGTCTGTTTCATACTAGTCCAACCTGAAGAAACTTGAGTTCAGAGCAAAGTTTGTTCCTCCCCCACAATGCCCTTAAGCAGTAAGTTCCCTCTGTTTATCCCACTGATTGATATCTATTACCTTTTATTATGTATTTTCATCACATTCTTCTCTCAGAAAAGGCGAAAAGAAAAATTAAGTCATAGATCTATAAGAACCAGAGAAACACAACTGGTAAGAAGTGAATGCTAGAATGCCTTTATGCCCAGAAATAAGCCTCAAATACTGTTACCACGGTAATTATTTTCAAGATGCCCAAGTAATTGAAACAATGCTTAGACCACTGACTTCCAATCCTGATGTAACATAAGCAGGATAACTTAAGATCTCTCAAGGGCTACTGTGAAACTATCAAAAATAAAATTAAGTAAATTATTTTCTTTAAAAAACATAAACTTTGATAGTTTGATGAAGGAAAATTTGCAAACTACAATCCAAAGGTACCTTAACCCTAAAAAGATTAGGATAAATAATATACATACTGAACAATGAATAACTGTGAAGAACAGAAATCAGGAGACATTTAAGTGTCACTCTTGCATGAAAGCAATCTTTATTTAAACCATCGGTTCTCAACCTGTGGGTCGCGACCCCTTTGGCGGTCGAACGACCCTTTCACAGAGGTTGGCTAAGACCATCCTGCATATCAGATATTTACATTACGATTCATAACAGTAGCAACATTACAGTTATGAAGTAGCAACAAAAATAATTTTATGGTTGGGTCACAACATGAGGAACTGTATTTAAAGGGCCAGAAGTTGAGAACCACTGATTTAAACTGACAGTTCTTCTGAGTCTATGAAATTGCTTCCTTTCTCCTAGTCTTCCCATGCAAAGTGGATGTATGAAACCGATCGAGAATGTGGACAGCTGTTGCCTCAATGCCAATCAGTTAAATAAACAGTGTCATGTAGTCTCTAGGTCACACTCTGCCTTGGTGATTTTGCCACCATTAATCAGAAAACTCAAGAGTTAGAAATGGATCATACAAATTATCCACCCTGGCCCCATCCCCTTGAGGAGGAAACTGATCTTGCAAGCTGTGTCAGGCCATAAAAACTGTGAACAATGCACTGCCCTGGGGCTGGGGGGGGTTATCGCTGGCCCCAGGACAGATCATCGGACATGGCCTGGGGACTCCCAACACCTGGGGGCCTTCCTGTAAGCCCACGAAAGGGGGCAGAACCATATCTGCAAGACAAAGACCCCAGAAGGTTATAAAAAGCGAAGCCTCTGCATGTTTCTTCACTCTGATTTGGGAATTATTCCCGGAGTCCACTAGTGTTAATAAACGGGGTCCCTCCCTTTCTCTAGGAAGCGTGCTTGGTATTTCTTTGGTCTTCTGCAACACCCTCACAGAGAAAGAAACTATGACTCAGAGGTTAGATTATTTAATCTAGATTACCCCAATAGTTCATTATTGATAAAGAATGATCACCCAGAAAAGTTCCTAATCCAGCTCTCAAAGAAATTAAGGCTAAACAGTATGAATAAGTGCAAGGATAGAAACAGTATAACTATATATTACCTAAGCAATTTTTTAAGAGATTTAGACACTCAGGCAAACAGAGGAGAATATATTGTTGAGGAGACTGGAAAATACTAAGATGGAGCAAAACCTCTTTTTTAAATATTTTTTATTTATTTCAGAGGAAGTGAGAGGGCGAGGGAGAGGTAGAAACATTAATGATGAGAGAGCCAGGAACCCGGGCATGTGCCCTGACTGGGAATCTAACCATGACCTCTTGGTTCATGGGTCGACACTCAACCACTGAGCCATGCCGGCTGGGCGCAGCAAAACTTCTTAATAGGCACTCAGTGTAACCTACAACCAAAATCTACAGAGTCTTCTGTTCTCTGTTTACATCCATAGAGAATATGTTTTAAAATATTAAGATACTAGGGTTTTGCTTCCTCATAATACATACAAATGTAAATAATCATTTAGAATAAGGTTACCTGGGGACTGAAATCACTCCAGCTCCCGGTTTAGTAGGATTACATCTCATTTTCACCGCAGTTGACCGGCCATTAACACAAGATGTTGTAGTTGCAGAAGACCTATTGTAAAGCACATATCATTTTAAAAAATATATATGACACAGATTACAAAGACAAAAATATCCTCCATATAAAAACTCCTATGCTATATAAACAAGTGGAAAAGGAATCAAAGTTCACTACTTTATAATTTAATACTAATTAAGTTCATTTTCTTTTACTGACTATAAAAAGTTTACTATTTTCTCAGGTAAAGTGATAAGCTATTATCAAGGTGTTTAGTAAAGCTTCTATAATTAAAATCAAAATTATAATCAAAAGAAATTTTAAAGGGAAATTCCAGGGTCTTATTTGCATCTACTAGGGTTCAGGAATCTGAAGAAAAGGCTGCGACAGAAATTAATAAAGAGACTAGACATGAAATATAAATTTGGGAGGCATTTTGCGGGAGTCAGGGGAGGCTTAGCTTTACTAACTAAGCTCCCCAATCTCCGGGCCCAAGGCTTTTTATTCCCACATTTTGCCCTATAGCAAAGCAGATATATGTATCAAAGGTAAGGTTTGGTAAACAGAAAAGGACCATCAGGTTGGGGGAACTGCCCTCAGCTGTCTGGCAGCAGGCAATAACATGTAGATCTTCAGCCCTGCTGAAGCCCTAAATTCCATCAACCTTCTGATGAACTTCTTGCATTTATGACCTGCTGGAATTAGCCTCCAGCAGGGAAAAATGTCATATCCACTCAGGCTGATGTTTAGTTGTATAACTTATAAATAAGTACTGCCTACACAATAGAGGCAGTATTGCCTAATTTAAAATAGTATATAAATTAGGCAAAATATAAATTATATAAAATATTATAAATTAGGCAACATGTAATATATGTATTTTTATATTTAAATATAAAATATATATATGAGCAAAATTATATGAGGCTTTCAAACTATTCCATGTTTCCTACTTTTTACTAAGTCTTTTATTTAAGAACCAATTGCCGATTATCTATTAATTATAAGCTACTATGCTGGCACCCTGAAGTGACATTCTTTTGATTTAAAAAAAAAAACTGTCAAGGGAAACAGCATCCTCACTTACTTGTAAAAGAAATGCACATCTGGTATTTGGCTCGGTGGAACTGGGAACATATCTTCTTTTATATTAATATTTTGCAATGTGGTTTCAATTGTCACTCCTACATGGCAATAAAAAAGACATTACTGAGCAATATGGGAAAATTAAGTTTATTTAGTCTCTGTATATCTGAATTGAAAATAGCTTTACTTTTATACTGTCATTTTAGCAGAAATATTGTATTAAATTAATATGACAATAAGAAACTTTCCACAGTCTATGGGGGAAAAAAAAGATTCTATACCCTAGTTTTGTAATTTTGCTTAAGTCACTTCACTTCCTTGGCTCTTATGTCCTGAATCTGTAAAATTCATGCAATAATCACAATATCTCTAAAGTCCCTTCCAGTTCTAACATTTGAACAATCCACTATTATACTTCTCAGCCTCTGGTGAGTTTTGTCGAATGAGCTGGGCAACTTTGCTAATACAGCTTTTCTTTCACATTCATTACAGGCATATTTGACCCAAAAAAAGATTCTTGTACCCTAATAATTTCCAAAAATAACTCCAAAATTTGCTTGATCTAAAAGTAAGGCATTTTTTCCCTGAACAAAATGATAGCAGCGCCAAAATGCAAGCAATAACAGCAACCTTTGCTTCTGACTGACACAGCTCCTATGCTGAGCACAAGCTCAGTAACTGACCTTGGTGCTGAAAAGTAAAGCTCAATTCCTCTAGAACCCATAGCAACGGTTCTCAAATCTGGCTGCATATTAGAATCATCTAAGAAGCTTGTTAGATTTGTTAGATTGTTATGTGCCTTGTTAGGTTCCTAAGCCCCACTCCAAAAAGTCTCATGAATTTGATCCCTGTGAATTACTAACAGGAACCTGAATTCTTCTTAAAATATTCCTATGTTCTTGACACCACAGAGACAGACAAGCAGATGGGGAATAAAACTCAGCACATTCACCTTTGCTACTTGTCACCAACTTACTTCTGGTATGAAAAAAAAACATGATGAAAACTGATGACAGATATTATAATTTAGGTTTATATTGTGTCTGTTTACTGTTCTTCTTTTCTTTCTAGTTTTGGTGTTTTAAATTATTTTGTGCCTTAAACTCCTAAAGGATCTGATATAAGGCCAACTCTCAGAAAACACAAATCACATCTGAGTCAATACATAAATTCAGAAGTTCCTTGTACTCACTGAGATTAATGACTAGACCTCACTTGTAGGGGCTTTTTAACCATGTCACAAAGTGATGATTTAGGATTACCTGTGGGCTTTAATCATCGATGATAAAAACCAATGCTATGACAGGTTATCAGTACCCTAGTTTTATACATGCATATAGGAACGAAATGAAGCTTACCTAAAAATGTGTCTGCCAGAATGATGGATTGTGATGATAAAGCTGCTCGGAAACCCTTACTTTCAGAAGGAATAATAGTTGATTGGCATACAAATGCTCCTACCAGATTCGTGTAATCATCTGAGCCTGCCACCACGTCCTTTACTGTAAAGTCTGTTATATTGTTGGTACAGAGAGCCGTCTTCTCCCCCTAGGAAAATGAAGTCATAACGAAGTTTTATTGGGGGTCACTCTCTAAACTGGATCTCAGCTAGCCATTGTCTCAAGTAGGGCAGTGGTTCTCTCCTCACCGCAATCCTGATTTATTAGATCTGGTGGGAGGCCCAGCCACCAGTATTTTTTAAAAGCTCTTACGGCTATTCTAATGTTTCAACCAGGGTTGAGAGTCACTGAGGTTATGATGAATATACTAATTCAAGGCTGCATTCCTCCTCCAACTGCAAGCATCATTTGTGGTGGATGAAAGCCATCTAACAAAAGGAAGTATAAGTCATCTATGAACTCTTCAATTCATAGGATAACAATGCATGCAAAGAGACCAGAAAACTGTTGATGCCAAGAAAGACTTGCACTTCATAGGCTGATGTGTGCCAGAAAGGTGATGTGAAGGCTGAAGAAGAAACATAAAAGCCATATTGCCACAGAATCCTAAGACAACATCAAAATTGTAAACAGTTGGTCACAACAAGTGTCTTTATTCACATACTCTTAGATTCAAGGACATGTATCTGCTCAACTACACAGTAAGTTTAAGGGAACACAAAGGTTTATTTTCATAATCATTTGGAGGATAGTTGGGAGATATAATTTATAAAAATTGGAAGACTCTTTAAATATAATATGTTTAAATATACTATAGTCCCAATGCAAAGGACTATAGCTTGCTCTATTATTTCTATGAAGAAATGTACAAAAGAAATAGGAACGTAGTTTATTGGTCTTAGATGTAGAGTGTGCACACGTGGGCATAAAGAAAAGAATCAAGATTTCACTTTGTTAATGCAGCTGGTAGTCCTAACCTATGAAATGTTTTCCCTCCACCAAGCCTTCTCACCACAATACAGGTGCAACATATTTTTACTAAGCTCAAATTAAATTGTTGAAGCCAAAAAGAGAGAAAAGTGGAAAAGAGCAGAAATACACTACTAAGGAAGGAAAGAGAAAGTCAACAATACACAGAAAGGAGTGAGAATATAAAGTGGGGGAAATATAAAATGGACACATATGTAATACCCTTTGTAATACTTTAAGCAATAAATAAAAAAAATAAAGTGGGGGAAAAGAGAAAGAAGGAGAAGAGAAAAGATGGCAGAACAGACAGTGGTAATACAGGAATAAGACTAAGAAGAAGTGTGATATATAATGGAATTAATTTCATTCACTGCTTAACACACTAGTAAACATAATAGATACTTAATATATATTATTGAGTAAACTGAGGAACTAACCAACTTAGTACATAAAATCAGGACAGGACAAATGTCATGCCATGTAAAATTTATAGATTTTTTAAGAATTTATATGATCATTAAATCTCTCTTTATTTTCTTTGTACACAGTTTGGCACAGCCGTCATAATGAAGACCATTATTAGATAATCAGGAATGAATATAGAAAGAAACATGGTGGAAATCCCAACCTTGTATGCCCTTAAAAATACTGAACATAGAGTCCTGTAACTCTCCCCATTACCAGTGTCAGTTAAGGTCTGCTTCTTCCCACAGAAAAGAAAACCCCATTGTTTATTAGCAGAGGCTATCTGATCAACTGACATTTGTCTCCTGCTGAACTCCTTTTTACTTCCGGATCAACTGTCTCTTGGAAGTCTTCTACTTTTTAAGACAAAAAAATGGCAATATTACAAACAACAGTAAAATTTTCTCCAACTAGAACTGCCTGCCTAAAAAATAGGAGAGATGACAAGCCTGATCCACTTTTACACAAACGAAAGATCCTCAAAGCACTTAGACCATTGCTCCAAGCTTTAGGGTTCAAGAGACTGGATGAGTGCTTTGATGGGCTGAGAACCAGGCAAGGTTGCCCCTGGTGGAGAAAGCTGCCAACCAACACGCTAGGAGGCAACAGAGGACTGAAGCGATCAAAGCTCAGTTTCTGACATGTGGGTGTCAGTTTCCATAGAGATTTTACTGGGCCGTCAACATAGGAAATATTAACTCACTCTGAGTTGAAACATAGCTCCATCTCACCTCTGCAGCCAGAACTCACCTCATGCCCACACAAACTAATATTGAAGAAATGGAAGTATCTTGTTCCTTTGGAGGTAAAGCTGGGGCCATTCATTAACGAGCCCACGCTGCTGAGGTTGCTGAAGTCATAGTGCAAACTCTGATTTTCTTTCTCGTGGTAGAAGAAGCAGTCACTATAGCAAGCGGAGTGGTCCTTTGATTAAGATTAAGAAATGTAAAAAATTTTTAATGATATAGCAGGAAAGAAAGTATTAGTTACTATGAAAAATGTGTCTCAAAAAAAGTCCTAGTTTAAGATCTATTTCAGTAATTTCATCTTCTTTCATAATATATTTTACCATCCTACTACAGAGAATTTCTATAAACTAACTCAATTTTCTTAGGCAAAGTTTAGAAGATTCAGAACTTTTCAAAGTAGTTATTCCAAGGTTAGTATCTTGTAGAAAGGTATGTTCACAGTCAAACGTCCCTGTTATGTCAGTTTAAATAGACAATAAAACTGCTTTCTCCTTCATTCAAAATGTAGCATCAACCTTTGCCCTTATAATATTATAAGGCACACTTGCTGCTCTCTGCATGTTCCTATTGCCCACCTACAGAGGTTGTTTTCTTGTCCTGCCTTAACAGAACCACAAGAAATTTAATATTTTTGAAAGAATTCTTATTTGAGTGCTTTTCTTAAAATTGTATGTCCCCAGAAACTAGCACGTACATGGAACATATTAACCAAGTGATCAATAAATGTAAAAGGAGAGAAAATGAGAAAGGGAGTGAAAAAATCATTTGTAAATATCACTAACAACCTTGCAGCTCCTGAAGAAACATTACAGGGAACTTCTGAGTTTCTCTCTTAAAGTAGACTCACTTACCCGAGTGCTTCTACTCCCAGGCCCGCACGGAATACAAGCCTCCTTGCCATAGACCTGATGTATGGACAGGTAGGTGTCAGGTGGACACTCCTTGCACTGGTTGGTTTTTTTCTCAATGTAGTCGCCTGGGGGGCAGGGGACACACGATGAGCCCGACTGTTCAGAACCGAGGGCACAGGCACGGCATGAGGATGCCACCCCATCAACTGCATTAGTGGCAGTGATAGAATAAATCTTCACCATGTCATTGATGAACCGTCTATTCTAAAAAGAGAGCAGAAACTAATGACTTCTGCTTTGGGGCTCATTGGACAATCAAACTGCTTTATGTTGATATCACCAAAATAAGCAGAGTGCTCCAGCTTTATAGTTTATAACTGACAATGGATCAATATAATTGGGTTTTTTGTTGTTATTTTTTAAAACATATTTTATTGATTTTTTACAGAGAGGAAGGGAGAGGGATAGAGAGTTAGAAACATACATGAGAGAGAAACATCAATCAGCTGCCTCCTGCACATCCCCTACTGAGGATGTGCCTGCAACCAAGGTACATGCCCTTGACCGGAATCGAACCTGGGACTCCACAGGCTGACGCTCTAGGCACTGAGCCAAACTGGTCAGGGCTGTTGTTATTTTTTCTTTGAAAATCTTAACACTGGAATGTGTTAAATCCACAATAATGGAGTCCCAGGAGTTTTGTCACAGTCACCATAGATATGTCATAATTGGTACTAACTCGGGCGTATTTTATAGACTTTACACCTAGCAGAATTAGCGGTTTATCTCCCAGTTACTCAAGATAGGAACCCAAACCTAATGCTACAATAGATGCCAACAGCAGCCATGGGCAAACTATGGCCCGGGGGCCGGATCTGGCCCGTTTGAAATGAATAAAACTAAAAAAAAAAAAGACCGTACCCTTTTATGTAATGATGTTTACTTTGAATTTATATTAGTTCACACAAACACTCCATCCATGCTTTTGTTCCGGCCCTCCGGTCCAGTTTAAGAACCCATTGTGGCCCTCGAGTCAAAAAGTTTGCCCACCCCTGTGCCAACAGTGTTGGTGGGCAGAAGCCATGGACTAGCCTTGGAAGACTAAGACCCTGGCCCTTACCCTAACACTAATTGTGCAATATTGATGCAATCATGTGACTTCTTTGGGCCTTCCTCTCTTTCTCTTTCTAGTACTTTTTCTAACCAAGATTCTTTGTTTTCTACTGAAAGAACTTGCAAAGGAGAGCAAGAATCTGTGGCTTACTTTATACTTTTCCTTACTGAGATAATGGATCAATTAAGATCTCATTTTCATCAAGCAGTGGGCATCACCCTATCAGTACAGGGCAGCACTACTCTAGACTAAATGTTCTTTGTGTGGAGCAAAGCAAAAAGAAGGCAAGGAAGTACCCCTAGCATGTTCATGCCCTGCATAATGGTAATCTGAACACTCGTAAATAACAAAATTGGAGGCCAGTAAAATCTGGGGAGTGGGTTCCCCAGTGAAAGCCTCAAGAGAAAATGCTACATCTGCCACCTTAGCTTTTGAGGCAGCTTCTGAACTCATGGTTTACCTTGTTCTCAAGTTGGGAAGTTCACATCTTTGGAGATTCACAAAAACAATAATCTTGCTACTATTGAAACATATAATCAGATTTACTTAGTGGAGGATGAAGGTCTACTCTAGCAGGGAAAGAGGGTAAATAATTCTCTGTGTTAACCCAATCCTGTGTCCACACACATTCTCCAGGCTATAAAAGAAGACATTACTGTAATCCTATATAATAAAAGGCTAATATGCAAATTGACCAAACTACGGAAAGATCAGTCGCTATAATGCACACTGACCAGCAGGGGGCAGACACTCAATGCAGAAGCTGCCCCCCCGGCAGTCAGTGCGCGTCCACAGAGGGAGTGCCACTCAGCCAGAAGCCGGACTCATGGCTAGCGAGCATAGCAGCGGTGGTGGGAGCCTCTCCCACCTCTGCAGCAGCACTTAAGGACCCCTCAGGGGTCCCAGACTGCAAGAGGGCGCACAGGCTGGGCTGAGGGACACCCTGCCCTCAGTGCATGAATGTCGTGCACTGGGTCTCTAGTGAAATTATAAACCAACATCTGTTAATGCCTCCTGAACAAATGCCTGATCATTCAGATGAAGAGGAAGCATGTCACCAGTCTTTTCAGAGTCTCAGAAAGCTTTAAAAGTAAGGTTTTAAATAACTACAAAATTAGATGTTCTTTCTCTTAAGCTTCTAGTAACTATAATTGTTCACAGTGTAGAACGGTTCAAAGATCCACTGTATTATTCCATTTCATACATTCTTGCTCTTAAAAAATAACCATTTTTATACCAATCTACTCCATAACCAAACGCTTGGTTCCACATCAATAAAAAGCTATCTTTTCCTTCATGAGATTCGAGTGACCACTTTCTATATATCTCCACTGGAGCATCATCTTTGTATTAAAAATAATAATAATAACTTGGAACTTACATCTTGCCCCTGGTTAGTTCTCTGGAATGCCCATGTAAATGTAAACGTTGCATTCTTGAAGATGATGTGGGTGTAAGCTTGTTTTTCTTTGGTTCCACCCCATGATTCCACCACGTTGGTACTTTTTCTATTAATATCCTTAAAAAATATACACAGAAAAGCATAAACTCAGTATTAATACACATGTGTATTCATTAAAAATATGTGTTTGTATTTACAGCATACCCTGCAGGGTTTGTAAATATTTATCTACAGAGATGTAACCCTATAATTAATTCTCAAAACTTCCTCTCAAATCTACACAAGCACTAGCTTAATAATTACAATATATCAACCACATTGTCAATGTAACATGAAAAAGGTCTCAAATCATAGTATGTGTAAGGGGGGGGTTGTGTGTATGTGTGTGTGCGTGTGTGTGTGTGTGTGTGTGTATGAGTACGCGCATGTAGGGGTGTGAACTTCTACCTTGGAGAAATATACTTAGAAGAAGAAACATAATTCCTCAAACTTCTCACAGTGAAATTCATAAAATGGCAAGGCTTTCTATTTTTATCTTTTTCCTTGGGAGATGCTGATAGGCAGCTCTTACATAGAAATTGTAAGTTCTCCCTGTTCTATACTTGCAACTTCCTGGCTTACCCAAGTGCAGATTAATCAGAATGTTATTTTATGTTCATGAAATATTCATTTTGATAGTGCTTTAACTTCAGTAGGATTAATTTGTGTAATATTTATTTCTGATTTTCTTGGTTAAATTCAATATTTAAAATACCATACAAATGTGTGATATTCCAACAAATATGTCATCATTAACATGGTTAGAAAGCAAATAATGTCAGCCAAATAATGTAATACATATCTAATTAATTAGAAATTAAAACCAAGACTAATCCTGAATTTTCTTATTAGCCTTTCCTGCAGAACCCCTAATACATGACCTAGAATTCTAAATGGGCTTCTGTGAATTATCTGGGATGTTAACAATATGGTGGCATAAGCTCAATACATGTCTCTTTTCTTTCTGTGATATAAACATAGGAGTCAAACATGTTATAAAGAAATCAAATCTGCTATAAAGAGAGGCATGTTGAGTTCATGCCACAGACAGAAGCAACAAAATGTGCTTTTCATACATTACAGAATTCCCACATTACTAAACATTCAAATCATCATACATGCCATTTCCTAAAAGGAGTTCATAATATGCAGATAGTGCTCTGTAAATAACATTTCTCTGGATGTTTATTCCAATAATAAATTGAATTTATTGCATTACTACAACTAACACTTTATTTATGTAAGACACTACACAATTTTGAGAGCATTTTTATATGCTATTTTATTGATATCTCAAAAAATCCTGTGAGAACACCAAATCACACACAAAGACAGCTAACAGATTCTGCTATGAGCTAAAACTCCAGTTTTGCTTTATCAAAATGAATAATTGCAAAACCTACACTTAGTAGTATTTGTTCAAATGAGAAAGATCAAAAATATATATATTTATACATTCACATAACCAAAAAAGGTTTTTCTCAAAAGGCTTTCAGGAGCACACTGGAGAGAGTTGTTCATTTTACTTAAAGGAATCAAAGAAATATTCCCCAAAGAGGTAAAGTTTGAGCTGCCTTTGAAGTATGGATAGGTGTTCACCAGGCAAAAGAGCATAAGGAAGAATGTCATTCAAAACTAGAGTAGCAAGGCAAGAGAAATTAAAAAGTACCAGGTGCTCCACTATCAAATTCAGGGTGTCTAAAAAGGTGTGAAAACTCACAGTAGGTTTAGTAACAGAGGGTAGGCAAAAAGTAGAAAAAGCCTTACAGAGGCCAGGCTAAAGAATTTTAAGTGTATTTATAGCTATTGGTTCTCAAACTTTAGTGTGTATCAGAACTACCCTCAAGGTTTGCTAAAAGTAGAGAATGCTAGGCCCCATCACCAGAGTTTTCCATTAAGAGTAGGATGGGGCTCAGAAATGTGCATTTCTAACAAATTCTCAGGTGATGTTGGTTCAGGGACCACACTTCAAGAACTACTACCACAGGCAACAAAAAGCCACCAAGAGTAAGGGGGTAGCTTGATGTGGATGCCTCTACTATTATTTTTATGTTTCTAAAGATTTTTTTTTAAAAAAATATGTGTTTTATTGCTTAAACTATTACAAAGAGTATTACATATGTCTCCTTTTTTTTTTCTCCCCTTGACCTTCTCCTGGCCTCCCCTACCCCCCAGTGTCTTGTGTCTATTGGTTATACTTATATGCATGCATACGCATACAAGTCCTTCGGTTGATCTCTTACCCCGCCCCGGCCCCCAACCCTCTCGGCCTTCCTGCTGTAGTTTGACAGTCTGTATATTTTGAAAGCAGCATGGATGACAGAATGGAGATAAGAAGAATGGATAGGAGACTACTGTTAAAAGATAATAGGAATGGCTCTGAGAATGAAGAAGAACTAACACTAAAGAACTAACACTAAAGAACTAACACTAAAGGAGGCAGAGGTGGGAGAATTGAAGACTTACTGGTTATTTGTGGTATAATATAGAAGGATGTGTTGAAGATTATTTATGATCTCCTATTACCACCATGAAGTCATTTTGTTTTTTTCAGAACAAAACAGTTTGTCTTCATTTAAGCTCTTAGGAAGCATGAATAAATATTTAAATCTCCATGTATCTTGTATGTCATGGAGGAAATTGTTAATGGACTCTTAACTAGCTATTAAAGGATCTTTGGAAAAACAAAAACAAATCATGCTTATACAGTCACTTCTTAATTATAACACTAAAATCTTAGCCAACAACCTTTTAATATCCACATGAGCCCCAGTAAATTTTAAGCTAAGAGTTGAGATTTATAGGACATCTAGAAAAAAGGGCCAAATTATGACATGTACATTGTAAAGTCCATGGTCTACATTAAATTTTTTAAAATATATTTTTATTGATTTCAGAGAGGAAAGGAGAGGGAGAGATAGAAACATCAATAATGAGAAAGAATCATTGATTGGCCTCCTGCACAACCCCTACTGGGGATTGAGCCCGCAAACTAGGCATGTGCCCTGACAGGAAATCAAATCCTGACCTCCTGGTTCATAGGTAAATGCTCAACCACTGAGCCACTGCGGCCAGGCAACATTGATTAAATTTAACAAGGTAGTGTTTTCTTTCTTCCAAGTGTCCACAACAACATTACTTTCTTCCCTCACTTACTAATACATGTTTTTCCTTCTTGCTGGCTTTAACTGCTATTGGGGGAAATTTTTCATTCTGCTGGTGGCATGTTTTTATGAAGAAATGTTCTAACAGATTAATATTCTCTGACTTCTGTCATTTGCCAAGGTCCCCTCAGTCCTTCCCACGAGGAACAAACGCTTTCTTTGTGGGTGTCATTTCACAATTCTTAGTGACTTCTTTAGACATTTTTAAATGCTTTTGTAAGGGACTAAGCATGGGAAGAAAAATAGGATTCGTATCCCAACTTGTATAAATAAATTCACACTTGAAAGAGAATGCTAAGCTTCTAGATTTCTAAATAGGCCTTTGAAAGCCATTCTTTCACTTACCACCATGAAGTACAGAACACAGTCAGCAGAACAGAGGGTCTCAAAGACAAATGTTATTCTTCCCAATTCAGAACCCATGGCTCCAGTCATAGATGTTGGTGGTCTATTTGACATTAAAATTACAATATTATAGTGCATTCTAAATACAATCTGGAACGAAATTATCGCTTTTTACATTAAGCTGAAAGCCATGCTCTCCTCATACCCTAATCTACTGCTCCCTACAGCCCAACTCTTTCCTCACTCACTCTCTGCTTGGCCATACCCTTTGTTATAAATGAAGTCTCCATAACCATGTTACTGTGCTTGAATTTCCTGGTATAAAGGCTACCACCCATCCTAAAGCAAGCAAAAGACACCTACGGGAAATTTCAACATGGAAGATTAAAGCAAAATGAGATTTTAAAATGTGTGACATGCTAATAGAGAAAAATAAACATATAAACTATAAGATACTACTGCATATAACCTGGACTAAGATATCCTCATTAAGCATCCAAAAATCAAGATTATTGTAACATTTGGATAAAATATTGTTTAAACCTTTCAGCTTCGTCTAACTAATACACAATTATAGTGATAGTTTCTCAATCACTGATTCTATAGATATTCTTAAACATATTTCCCTACTTGCTATTTGCTAAGGATATCACAATGTTAATATATTTTATAAAGGCAATCCTACTCCATCTATTTCTAGAGGGAAACAGGCATGAGGGTTCTTACAGAAGGAAATCAGAATGGGTTTTCCTTACTTAAATCCTGGGATATGCAAGTTTAAGATCAGGTAATCATTATCAGAACCTCCAGCCCCACTCTGGATATGATCTCCAGCCACCTCCCAACCTGGAAATGACAAAGATCATCTTTATTAGTAAAAATTCCATTACTGATTTCTAAGAATTTTTAAATGAAGTTACAAAAAGACCAGTAGTGTTTCAAAGTTAGAAATACTTCAAAAGAATTCCCTATTTTTAAATTGAAGTTGCAAATTACACATAGAGGTAGACTCCTACCTACCAATAAAGACATTCCTTATGATTCCTCAGAAATAATCAAGTAATGCATATTTTGCATAAAAGTTATTTAATGAGAAAACTATTTCTCGGTGAGGCATGACTATCTTTTTTAAACTAAAACAGATGGTCTTCATTCATTCTAATACAATAAGATAGAAAATCCTAGTCTCCAGGTAGCCAATGAGAAATAGAAACCTCAAATTACTTAATGAAGAAGATCTGAAGTCTAGAGTTATTTTTTATAGTTTTCTATATTGTTGTTCCCTAATTTAACTCTTGTTCTACGTTCATTCACTTATTCACTCATTTGATTGGCACTCAGAGTGCTAAGAACCATGATATGCACTAGGGATAAAAAGACAAGACTAGGTTCTACCTCACTGAAGATTCAGAAGAATATGAGAGACACACACACACTACAATTGTCAACAGTATGGGAGATACAGATGTACATAGAAGGTGATGGGGGGAGAGGGGAATCTGTCCTCTGCACAAAAACAACCAACATACCATAGGCACAACTCAGTGCTAAGCTCTCTAAGAACTTAAAATGTAAGAACATTCAGCAACCATCCTATAGAACTCTGTCATGTTTTCAAGTTTTCAGTAAGTGGGGTTCATCAGTATTTTGTAATCAGGGTCACAGACTTCATAGGCAAAAAGAGATAGAGATGATTTAACAACCTCTCACCACGGCTCAGTGCTGAGCCAGAACAAACTAATCCAGGCAGAAATGCTGCCACCCTACCCTTCAAAATGGCAAATGTCATAGACGTCATTACTTCCCTTAGTAATCTACTCTGGTATTTATAACCATAACTGGTCCTCCTCAACATCTACCTCTACACTGAGCCCAATGCAAAATAGCTTATATTCCTTTGGAAAGTCATCCGGCTGTAACGCCACAGTTACTATTTTTATGTGAGGGCCCGAAGATGGGCAAGCAGCCAAGTAAGATGGAAGTTTCTCGTACCCACAGGTAGTATGTTCGTAAAGAGCTGAAACTGAACGTCTCTGCTGCCAAAATACATCCAAGAGGCCGACTCTGAACTCACCATTCATCCCATCACATTTTGAATTCCCAACATTAAAGCAGGAGGTTTTCATGTTGCCGGGAAGGACATTCCACCATTTGTATTCAAAGCCAAGGGCAGGCTCTGTTCCCGCTGGACATGGTCTACATTCTGCAGGAGACAAGTGGGGCAAACTGACTGTTAAACTGCGTCTTGACAACTTCTTCTCCCTTTGTTCCAAGCACTGCTGAATTTTAATTAGCAGAGAGGGAAGGGGGAAGGAGAAATCCTGAGCCACCAATTCCCTGAAGAATTAATAACTTTTTCAAAAACAATCTTGAAAGAAAAATAATTCTGGATACATTATACACATATATACTTGACTTACCTGAAAAGGGAAAAATATAAAATCTTTTAAAGTGATTTCCCCCTCATTTCTGGGAGTAACTGCCATGACTGAATTATCCCCTACAAGAAAAGTAAGTCTGAAACACATTCTCTTACATGTGATTTTAGAATCAGTACCCTTCACTTCATGAATAAGTAAACATTTCACACTTCCTATTGGTTATTAAATGGAACAGCATATCATGCAATTTAATTATGGATTGATTACTTGAAGTTCAAAATACTAAACTTCAAAATGTTAAATGTTAAAAAAATACTAGGAGTTGAGGGGTTTGGAAAGAGTTAAGGTTTATGAATAAACCTGATTTAAATTAACATCTGCCCTACTGAAATGGAAGGGTCTTTTCTAACCATTTTTTTTTTTTTTACCCAAGACACTTTGCATTATCACATCAGTAAGAGAAGGGGTAGGGAGAGAAAATGTTCACTGAGGAAACACTTCTAGTACCAAAGTATTGCAGGAGACATTTTTATATAACCTGCTCAGTAATGATGAGCTAGATATTATTACCCACAATTTTTAGATGAGAAAACTGAAGTTCAAAAGGTTTAAGTAACTTGAATAGATAACACTATTGGTAGCCTGCCAGATATGGACTCAAACCCAAGACAATTTGACTCTTAAGGCCTTTTCATGTTATTTCTCAAAGGCTCAGGATATTAATTACGTATGCTGCATGGCTATATTCCAGTAAGAAATCTGCAATTAAAATGCACTGTAATCCCTGTCTACCAAAATTAAAACAAATTCTCTAACCACCTTCGACATTATTTGGTAAGTACTAAAATTTTCCAACTACACACTTTGAAACAATTTACTTAGGGAATATAATATGCTATATGATTAAAATGAGCAAGTTTTTATATTATTGCACAAAATGTGACTTATTATTCCAATATAAAGCTGAATTAGAAGACATATTTTATGCTTGCATCAATATCTGTGTACACATACTCTGCAAATGAAGTGCTTATTCTTAATCGTTTAATATGGTGGAACTTCTTATCACTACCCAAAGGCAGAGTCCTCCCATAAGAGTGTCTTGCCATTAAAAAGCAATCCTTACGATATGTTAAATAAACCACTGCAGTCTCATGATACCATTATCATATTTCTCAACTCTACTTCAGTCTCTGAAAAAAAAATGTATGTTTTAAAGAATGATTTCATAAGAACAATTAGAACAAAGTTATAGGAGTCCAACAAGATTAGTATGCTAAAGGTCCGAGTGTTGGACTAACTGATATCCTACCCTTTGTTCCATCTGAAAACGTCCCAGGAGGGCAGGGATGGCAAGAAGATGATCCATTGTTATAAAATCCAGGGTTGCAAGGTGGACAATCCTTCTTCTCTCCAGAAGGGGGCAACCTAAGAGCATCTGTGAGATCTTCCCGGCAGATTTTGGGCTCTATCCACTTATACATTATCTGTGTCTGCAAAAAAAAGGCTTGTAAGTCATTTAATATCCTTTATTTGCTTTAAACTTCCAATAGCACAAATGTTAAACGGGCAGCCTAGAAAAATTCCAAATAGTGATATACCAGAAGGGCCAAATAAAGACAATCTAAAACATTAGTAAGAAAATGAGATTCCCCCAAAATAAATAAAACTTTAGTGACAAACGACCATTATTTCCAAGTATTTTTGCCCTAAACTAAAGGTGGCTATACTTCAGTCAGATCATGTTCCTCATCATGAAATTCCTCTTTAAAATACAGATATGGTGATTATGGCCCTTACTCTTCTATCCACTCACTTTATTTACTCCTTAACCAACATAAGTTTCTATGCAGAGACTATCTTTTTCACTTTGAGACCTGCACTACTCTCTCCCTTACCCTCAACCACAGTACCCACCACCAACCTTTCCACATAGTGATAAAAAATTATTTTTAAAGAAGAATATGTCTAGCTTCACATTTTCATCCTATTGTTTCATAAATATTGGTAGTTACTCTCTGGATCTTTTCCAGTAACATGATATTAGACTCCAAGACCTGTAGCTAAGATATCTTCTCCTAAGGGTTTTAGGCCCTCCGGCATGTGCGCTGAACATCAGGATTAAGACAGCCTCCAGGCTTCCAGTCAAGGTGGTAGTATAAATAAACACAGTACTGGCATCCTCCTAGGGCTACATCAAAATTACAACTAAACTACGGAACTACCATTATTCAGAACCACCTGAAATCTAGCTGAACAGACCCCTGTAACTACCCTTCTTTCTTCTCTCTTTCTCTCAAATCAATCAATATATAAAATTTAAAAAATGATAAAGACAGCCTCTAATTTCAGAGAGGGAAGTCCTTTAAACCTTATCCTTTCATTCTTCCTCACACATTCATACACCCCCACACAAAACGAAATAAAACAAAATTAGCTATGACTCAGCCAAACCCAGAACACTGTAATTATAAAATTATTCTCTTTTGAAACCAAACCATTAAACGGGCTTGCCATTTCAAAAGCAAAATTGGTATTATCAGTGGGGAGAAAGGTATTCTAAATGCAAAGAAGAAAATAAATTTTTCATAGCTAAATATGGCTTTTTTAAAAAGAAATTAATAGCTTCCTTCATTAGACATATAATCTGCTTAACATATCTTTCTCTTTAAAAACAATATCTGCAATAATAAGCCTAATATTGAAGCTGGAGGACCAAAATTAAAGGCAATTCTCTACAGCCATTTTCAGTTAATAGAAAATCATATATATTAAACCCTTTAGGCCACTCAATTTTATCTCAGGTATCCTCTCATGGACGAGTAAACTATCCTGTCGGAAGAAGGATGCTTAAGAAAACACTTTAAAAGTTGGATAAATGTCTCAACAGAATTATAAATAACTTTTTTTTCATTTTACAACTCTCTCTTTCCACGTTCGTTTTATGCCTACATCATGAAACAGTCTAACCAGCCACTTCACCCATCTGCCTCTCTCTTACCATCTGTAAGACGATGGTCGTTCCTGCTGGAGCTTCCTACATAGCTGAAAAAATAAATTAGATCCTGTGTCCAAAAGGGCTTCCCAACTCCCCCGAGAAAGGCAATATAAAATTCCAAGAATGTAAGCAAAAATATCATCATATTGGGGAGATCATCTTTTTAAAATTCTCGCTTAACAAGTACAGACAACAACTTTTTCATCTTTGCCAATTCAAAAGTTTGCTGATTTATTTTTGACATTAATTAAAATTGTAATGCACTGTGTGTGAGTTACTGCAGTGTTGGGAATAGTTGGTTCCCACGTGGGAGTGGGCACAGCTCTGAGGCTGTGCGCTGAGGACTGACCATGGGGGCCCACATGTAATCTTCCCCCCTCCCCCCACTTTGGGAGGTCAGTATTATTATTATCCTCAAGTTTATTGCTCCAAAGTTATACATAGCTAGTAAATGGCAAAGTAACATGAGTCAAGGAGAATGCATTTGGAAAGCGTAAAAATAATAAAATATGCAAATAAATTTTCAAGAGGATAACTAACCACATGCTTTGCAACCCAAGCACAATTGATGCTTAAAAATTAGAACATGTGTACCACCTTCAAACATGCAAACATTTAGAAGTCAAATTTTAAATTCTCTGCAGTAAAAGTTTTGTTCGCAATGCCTTGCTTCACATGGCAGACTGATTCTGTGCCTCTCTTTCTAATGGGGACAGATGCTTTCAAGTCTGGCTGACGGGAAAAGCTAATAAGCAATATTAATGATTTGTAGCACCAGATGGCTCACAGTGAAGGTGAAAACCCAACAATCAATTCATTCTTTGGCAACTTGAGATAAAATTATGAAATGTTTTATGAAACCAAAACCTTAATAGAGCAAAACTTACCAGATTGCTATTAAGATTACAGAAGAACTATAGTTTCCAAGTGTATTTCTATTAAGTATGAATAAAAACACAGTTTATTGATACACACAATACACATGGAGGTATCAATTGGAAGCTGGTTCTTACATTGAAATAAATTCAAGACGGGGAGGACTAAACTTTAGATGAATTTTGAGACCGAATTTGTCCATGACTTTCCTCCTTCAAACGTCCCTGCACAAATGCACTAAGGCTTTGTAGACTGGCTGAATTCATCAGAGATTAATTACATGTGCTTTTAAAGAATCTACCAAGGACCACTCCAACCTGACAGCCTTGGGCTTCATCATGTTACAGCTCAGATGTTCCCAACTAGGCTATTGCTTGCCTGTCTGCCTCTCCCAAACCTTGATCCTTTCTGGTTGTAACCCACCGGGCACTCATCATTGGTCTCTCTTTCAGTCACCCGTACCATTCTGCCTTGCTTTGCCTGTTCCTGCCTTCAAAGCCATGCTCAATATCCACATGGGCTCTGAGCACTTCCTCAATGCACCCATCTACATATCGGCACTCACTTGGATTCCTTTACTATGAAGCCTTTGATGTTATCTCTTTCCCCTTGTGGTTGCCTACTCGGCCCTCTCCTTCCTTTATGTTAAGACACCATGGGGTTTGACATTGTACTAGAAATTCTAGCCAAGGTTGTAGGCAAGAAAATTTTCTACAATTAGGTTGGGGTGAATATACTAAAAACAATGAATTGACACTTCAAGGATATATTATATGGTGTGAGAATTACATCTCAATAAAACTGTTTTTTAAAGATTTTAAAGAAGATTATAATAACATTTTTATTTTAAACAAATGCAGAAATCCCTAATCACTGAGAAAGGTCATGTTGTTTTCCCATCATCCTAAGAAACGAATGTGTTTGACTTGTTTAGATCATATAGGAAGAAAGGCAGATCTAAAGCCATATCCTTTATACGCTAATTTTAATGTCTCCTATATCTTACTCCTGCTATATAATTCAGAAGTACTGTTATAGACCTTAAGCATTTGGAATACTTTATAATATTGAAGTTTGTTAAAGGTAAGGAAAAGTGCTAGATAATCTGATACCAAAACACTAGCAAACCCTTTATGGTCCATCAAGACCAGGAATGTGGTCTAATCTTAAGCATTAAAAGTAAACTTAAAAAGAACTTAAGACCTAAGGGTAAGTACAATAACCATATACATATAAAATTATAGATTAGGACCTCAGATTAAGAAAATAAAGCAATACTGGCATCTATGTGGATTTTCCAAATTAGGTCAAGATATTAACTGTCATGATTTTGAAGATGCAAACATACAGAAAGTATGTTGCATCATACCCACTTTAATCTCAACTTCTCCTACTGAATAGGCTAGTGTAGGCTGACACTTTTTAATTAAGAGAATGGCAGGTCAGCTGCATAGTTCATGTGTGCATTTTTCCTCTGGCTCAGTGTTGTTTATATGGTAATTACTCTGCATTTTCTAAATGCAATTACACAGCAATCTGCCATGACTAAATTAGCCAATGGCTGCATGGCTTTTTTATTGACAAAACCTACTGAGAAACCAAATAATTAAAGAGAAGTTACAGGATACAACAGGTCCCCAAGTAAAGTCGTTTCATTCAATATCCTTTGTGGTTTCATTATAACATTGTTGACTCTTGTTTATATCAATTAGCCTAGAGTAAAACTGGTTCACTTCAAGTCTCAAAACCTATCAATAATGTTAAAGTGAGGACTTACTGGATTTCCATCCTGTGAGTCACAGGACACATTTTAAGGCTGTATTACTCCTGAAAGTATTACTTTTTAAAAACATATGACTGTTAAAAAAATAGCAGGGATTTATTGGGCACTCAGTATGTGCCAGGCACTGTGCTAGGAACCTTCCATTGAATAGCTCATATTCTCATAGCAGCCTCAGGACATAGGTACAGAGATTATCCCGATTTTACTAATGAAAACACTGAAACTTAGGCACAGCCAATAACTTGCCCACAGCACTAATTAGTAGATTGGAAAATCAAAGCCAAGAAGGCAGGCTTCAGACGATGAATTATTAAATTTCCTCTGAACTACTTTAGATACACGTGTTATAAGTCAGCTCCTTCAACTCTCTCATCAACAAATAAAAGTCTGCTAAAATTGGGAAGATGGCTGAATAAACATGCAATGGAGTGCACTGAACACAGCCAATACCTTTCCATCTTCATCACATGGAGTGTGGATCTGAAAATAGTCTTTTGTGGTACAGGGAGGGCGCTCCAGACACTCGCCAGATCCTTCTTCTGCAACAACAACAACAACAACAAATGCATTTCAGAAATGAGTCCTTTGTGACTCTAAGAAATGGCAAAAAACAAAACAAAATAAACAAACAAAAGAGAAATAACTAAAAAGTAAAAATAACCTCACCAGAGGAATTTAGGTACAACTAGCTAGGCCTAAAGAAGATAAGGGCTTACATTTTTATTTTCACTAGAGCAATAAGTGTTTCCATGATACACCTGGGACATATCACAGTTTTTCCAAGAAGACGTTAGACTTATTCTATTATCATTAAAATTGTAAATTTAGAACAAATGAAGTTTCTAAATATATCTCTATGTCCACAAATCATCTAAAAGTACAGCATGAATTCAGATTAGTATAAACACATCCCAAGCAGTTACCTGTGAAGTAAGAAATAGTAAAAAAATCACAGATAAAAGGAAAAGTCATGAAGAAAGGGGTAAAAGTAATTTTTATGCACTCAATATTGATTCACTTCAGCACTTTGGTGTCTAGCCCATTGTTCCTGTCCCACTTATATGTGACATCTGGCTTAGGACTATACACTCAACAAATGTACATTTAAAAAGAAAAGAACATAGAATACAAATTGGCAAAGATTAGACCCACCTGAAAACTGGGAGTCCTCTGCACACTTTATGCATTCTTTGGCTCCTTTCTCAGAATAGGTGTTTCTGGGACACACTTGGCAGTTGAACGAACCTGGTTTATTGCTGAAGGTGCCCGGCTTGCATGGAAAGCATTCTGATGTGTATGCCACTCCTGTGGGACAGTAACACACAGAGCATGGGAGGGAGGACCCAACAGAAGTGAGCAAATCAGCACCTTCTTTCACCTTCTACCAGAAATGAGAGAGCATTATTGACACTAAGCTCAGCCCAAATCCTTTCTCTCATTCATTTCAACCCCAAGAAGTGTTTGCTGCATGCAGGTAACTGGGACAAATATTGAATAAAACACAGTAAGTAGAGCAAACACTGAAGCAAGAGACTGGTATTGGTTAGGAGTATAGTAAATGTATAAACTCAGTTGTCAAAAGACAACTCCACGGACCCAGAATGGGATAAACTCTAAGGTCCCTTCCAGTTCTGCAAGCTACCATTCTCTGATCTCTGTGGCTACCTGTTTGTTCCCTTTCTATGCTGCTCACTAAGTCACTGGCAAGACTTAACAGGCCCTAGGAAGGGCTTGGCTTTTCTTCTGGTTTGTAATTTCAGCCTTTGCCAGCAGATGTCCCTAGGACTAATGAGTTAGCATCACAGGAACAAGTACACTTTAAAAATATTAAAACACAAGCCAAACTTTCATAAAGGAGAATCACTGCTTTAATTATAAGTAACCCTGAGACTGAATAATTTCAGGGTTTACTGGCCGCTTTCCTGGGCCACTAAGGCCCAGATGATTCAAAAGAAGCACAAGAACCAGGCCACAACGAGCACTGATCTATAAACTAGGAGGTCACAGTTTAATTCCAGGTCAGGACACATGCCCAGGTTGCAGGCTCAATCCCCATTGGAGGAGGGGGGTGCGGGTGGAGGGGGGGCATGCAGGAGGCAGCCAAATCAACAATTCTCTCTCATCATTGATGTTTCTATCTTTCTCTCCCTCTCCCTTCCTCTGAAATATATATATATTCTTTACATATATATATATGTATGTAAATAAATATATATATATATATATATATTCTTTACATATATATATATATTCTTTACATATATATATATATATATATGTAAAGAAGCAGCACAAGAGAAGATTTGGGAGATAATCAGGCCAAGATGTTTATTTTATTGTTGTGGGTATTTTGGGATGCAACAGTGACCTGAGTAAGCTCAATGACTGGCACTATAGATATTACTCAAATGAATAATAGGCTCTTATTAACAAAGACATTTTTCTTTTATTTAAAGACACCTAAAATTGTCATCATGTGTACTTTTTCACACAGATTAAATAATTACGTTTAAGGAACAAAAAACAAAACAAAAACAAAAAATCAGTCAACTTTCCAGGAATAAAACCAGCACCTCTACACCTGTATGATACTTAACATATTAATTCCTGTCCCATAAACTCTTGGGCCAATCAAACTGACAATTCAATCAATATTTAACTCAACATAAAATGTGATAGGTGACTACTAAAACAGATTGCTCCAAAATACCTTCAATTGTGATATTTTTTACCAACACTGGCTTGACTGCCTTAGAACCCATAAGGATGCCTGTAGTTCTCCAGTACAGTATGTTTGGGCCAGACTTTAGCATTACCTGTAAAACAAAACACAAGACACTCAGGTTAGCTAAGCCGTGCTACATCCAACCATGCCTGAAAGCTAATCTCGCATACATTTTTCTTTGAATTATAGTGAAACACCATTAATTTGGAATCCATAAATTTAAGTCTACTGCTAATTCAGACCTAAGCTCTGCTGAAGTTCAAATTTTCTAAAAAAAAATACTTTGCCAATCCAAAAAAATATAGTAATAAAGAAAATTCCTCCAGTCTAAAGAAAAAGATAAAATTATTCTCAAAGCATTTGCATGAAGTTTTGGTTTATATTTAAGAGACTCATTTTAGAGAGTGAAAGGCACTCAGACCAATTATATATGTATTGGATGCCATTATTCATAAGCAGACTTTGAGTTCTGAGAACAAAAAGCAACAGACTGAGTTGGCTTCTTTTTTAATTTATTTAATAAGCAATACTGCAACAGCAACAAGAGAAAGTAGGACTGTTCTTATAAAAGAACCTGATTTAACTCTATGATTTTAGAACTTAAATGTTACTATGTCTAATATCGGCTTTCTTTGCCACTGGGATATTTTTCTAATTATAAATCAAACTAACTTTCTGAGACATGTCATGCTAATTCAGACAAGCAAACTAATTTTAAGGGTCCCTTGCTTTCTCATTTGCCACCCTTATTCTTCTATGTAGACCCTGGCCAAATCCAAACTGTATAAACTTAAAACATATCCAACCATTTCACCTTGCCAGGGATTCAGAGAAGTAGTACATTAAGTACTTTCGTCTTGCATGAAGTCTTCATAAGTGAAGAAAGTGTATTTGTTGCCAAGGGTTATTTGTGCCTTCAAAGCCCAGCCGAGAGAAGGCTTGGGCAAATAGATCTTAAGTGGTATTAACGTCACTTCCAGGCATACAGCTCAAAAAATACTCGGAAAAGTAGGCTGTATTAATCATTCCAAGCGGGAGTCCCTGGAAGGTCACTGACTGAAACAGAGCTCCGTCTGCATTTTGGGCACCCATGTATCATCTCATTTATCCCTGCAAGAGTGGTTTTATTTCTTTTTTTTTCTTTTTGCTACTTCATTTTATTTTATTATTTTGGGGGTTTTTTATTTTATTTTATTGTTCAAAGTATTACTGATAGTAGTACATATGTCTCCTTCCCCCCCGCCCCCCACCACATTGACCTTCCTCCGGCCTCCCCTACCCCCTGGCTCATGCCCTCACTCCACCCCGCCCACTCCCCAGTGTCTTGTGTCCATTGGTTATGCTTATATGCATGCATACAAGTCCTTCGGTTTTATTTCTTACATGAAAAAAAAAAAAATTCAAAGAGATTAAGCCAGTTGCCTAAAGAAACACAGCTACTATAAGGCAGAGTTTGATTTTAAATGCATGTGTCATTCCAAAGGCACAGTGCCTCAAATAATAGCAGATGCATGGACTGTGTTACCTGATATTTGCCTTCAAGCATTTACTAGTACAGTTATAGTGTGGAGAATTGGGCAGTTACTTTATTTCAATGGGAAGTCATTTTTCAAAGGGCAAAAAATTTTGACCCATCAATGGCAAATAGACAGGAGACAGTTTAGGTTCCAAACACAGATGAATTTTGTGGTAATCAGAGCTACCCAACAATAGGGTCAGCACAGTTCCCAACAAAGCAAGCTTGAAAAATCACTTAGGGGGGGCGGGAGCGGGGCAGGGGACGACTGCAGAGAAAGCTGGGTGAAAGGAACTCAAGGATCCTTCCAATGCAAGAGCCACTGATTCTCTGCCATGTGACAGGCACATCTGTAACCGTAGACACTCAGAGGTTTTGTATATTGGTTAGATCAGCCTTACTTCTTGTTACTGCCCCCTTTGAAAGGAGGAAAGTTGAAGTATGATGGGAAAGAGAAAGGAAAGAGCCTAAGGAAAAGGGGAAAGGTAAAGAAAAATACCTAGAAAGAGACTGAGTCCATGAAACTTGGTCTCTAACTGGAAATTTTCTAAATTCATGAACAATTTTGAAGTTTTTTTTTCCCTTAAAATAAACTTTTAAAAAAGGTTGGAAGAGGAAGGAGAATAAAGAGAGGATAGGAATAAAGAGAGACTGATCGAGGAGAGGAATAAAGAGAGACTTACAGAATGCGAGCCCCACTCCCCACTGTCCGTGAGCTTGACCCACTTGTCCGCCGTGGTGTCCATCTCCTGGCACTGATCGTTCTGAATCTGGGGAACAAACACAATGGTCCCAGTATGTCTTCTTGAATAATGGCTTTAATTAAATGTGCTACTCAGCATAGGACAGGCTGCAACAACTTCTTTTGAGACGTACATTCAACAATGCCCATGAGTCATTTTCAACAAAGTCAACACATCGAGACCTCTGAAACCGAAGTGACAACTGCTGCGCGTGAGTGGTTGTAGACAAGCCACTGTCATTATTTTCACAAAAAGGCTATCTTACTGAGAAGGAAGGGGGGGGAGTGCAGAAGAGAAAGAAGGAAAGAGCAGCTCATACTGAAAATTCACATAAAGAGAAAAAGTAACTCCAAAAATCTTACCAAATTGTTTTAAAAGCTTGCATTCGCCATGCAGGCCCAATGGTATAAAAATAAAGTTTGCTTTTTAAATAATATTTGGGGCAGTAAAATCTTAAATTAATAAATAAATTAGGTCTGCTTTGTTTTCAGTTCCCCAGGATTTAATCCAAATGTATAGGTTAAGTGGCCACAGTCAACGTCCCAAATTTTTATTTGGGGGCAAATGTTAATCATTTGCCATACTGATTCAAAGGACTACACAATTAATATCTTTAGTACCAAACACTTTGTGCTTTCCAGAAAATTCTTCCAAAATGCCTAGGGTTTAGGACACTACTTTTCCAGATCTATGAAGAAGACAGGACCATCAAAAGTTAGGCCATCGTTACAGTATTGCAAAATAGTCATCAATAGAGTAGGGTTAAAGTAGGTTCTCATCACTTATTCTACTTCCACCCAAATGGCTCTTTCTTTTCTAAATCATTTTTGCCACTTCATGCATCCTATGGACCAGAATATGTTCTCCATCATGAAATTTCCTAAAGACTTACTAACTAGAAAAATAGGTCCTTTTGCCATCCAAATACCAGAGAATTTCCACTACTGAGGATATTGGCTTCAATTGAATTCAAGTATCCTATTTATATTATAAGCATAATGGCCATTTTAATGTAAGTGTTAAGCCATTCTAGAACAGATATGAACCCTGAATATACCTTTGGTGGTCAGTGTTTGGATAAGCTGACAGCTTTTTTTCAGCCAAAATCAGACATCATGTGTCATCATGATATTCTTTCGACTGGCATTCTAGGCACCTGAGCTCTGTTATTCATTCTAAAAGTAACTAGCAACGGTATAGCCTCGGTCCAATCCATTATTCTTTCTAGGTTTCAGTCTCATCATTTAAAAAGGGGGGGGGGGCTGACTGAAAGTCTCATACAGTCCCAAAATTAAATCCTGTATTGGTTCAAATTATGTAAGGTCCACAGGCACAACTGCATCTTTCAGTCCTCACACATTTCCTTTCCACTAGCCCTTAGCAAGATTACCTGAGTCAATAAATCACTACCTAGGAAGCGGAAGCATCAATGGAAGGAGGAACATGAACTTGCCAGCCTCTTCAGTCTCTAACCAGAAGAACAAAGGCTTCCTCAAAGGAAGTAAAGAAACTTCACGCCTCTGGAGGACCGTTACCGACAATCCTCAAAGCACTTGCTGGACAATATAAAACTAAGTGCTTATTCGAACAGTTATATAATTACCTTGCTTCTTAACTTTAGTTTAGTTTTAGTGATATTGCAAAATTGTCCCATAAAATAGGTAATTATTCACCCTAAGGAGTGTTTTATAAACAAAACGCAGCTTAAAAAGCAAATCTGAATGTTGCTTAATATCTTAAACTCATCAAAGGGTATTAGAGCTAGGAGGGCTCCTTAAAAGGCCCATCACACAATCCACTTCACAAAAGGGAATGCTGAGGGTTGAAAAGTAAACGTAATTGCCCAATAACACACAGCTAGCACTTGCAGAGATGGGACTAGAGCCAGAATCTCTTGACTTCAAATCTAAGGTTCATACTTTAATCAAAAACATCTCTTCCTACCAACTTCTGATTTAGAAATTTCCGTTATCAAGAGCAATATATATTTGTTTTAGAATTTTTAGTACATTTCCCCCTAAAGTCTGTACTACAGAAACATTTTAAAAGGTATTTTAGCAGTTACATGCACACACTTTTTTTTAGTATAAGACATCAATGGGAAAACATTTTCTCAAACATTTGAGTCACTGCCACAACAAATATTCGCTAAATTAGCTACAGTTTATATAAAATAGTTAAATAATTTTAGAGGTAAAGCCTATTCTGTTAAACTATTATTTTATCCTGTATATTGTAATGCTATTTAATCTCTTACCAGAGACATCAGCTATCCCATCCATTAATTCCTTTAGATTGTGTACAACTAACAGAATCAAAATCTACAGCCACCTGTACTTCTGAAATAATGTCCATGAATACAGTTAAATAATTCAAATATTTGAAATTGCAGGGAAAAAAAGTTTTTAAACAAAAATTGAATTTGGTGGAGACATATTTTAACAAAAAGCATCTTGTCGCTACAAAAATAACAATTTTTAAAATGAATCTAGGGGGAAATATTTATCACACAAAGAGTCTACACCAAATGGTCATCTAATGATCATAACCAAAAGTAAAACAAGCTCAATGTTACTCTGCAAGGCAAGAGCTCAGAGGTAAAGAAACAGTATTTCTATAATAAAATATTATAGAAAAAAAGTAAAGTTGTCTTTTAGCATCAAAAGTTTCAGTTAACACACACACTCACAAAAAAAACTGAGAAGGCATAAAGTGTAATGGAAACAACAGATTAAGGTAAATATTACATGAATGTCCCATAAAAAGTATATTTCAGAATATAAAAGGCCTTACAAAGAACTCAAAGAAGATGTTGTTGTCGACGTACTGGTACTCAAAGAAGACATTACCCGACTTCTTAAGGTGCACAGCATAGATCAAAGACACGGTGCAGTCATCACGATTTGACTCTATGTAATTTCCACGAGGGACCCAAGAAGAGCTGTGGAAACAAAACCAAGGGGCATCTTACATCCGCGTTCGGAAACCTCCTATGTAACTCAGATTCAAAGGTCGTTCCTTCAGCAAGGCACAGCAGAGACGACCAGAGCTTTTCTGGAAGTCAACAGCCAACACCATTACTGGGGAAAGAGTCATTGCTTATGGCACACAATTCCCTAAATCTTGGTAAGATCAATTTGCTATGAAACTGCTATTTTTCACCAAAACTTTGATCACTAAAGAGACAATCACTAATTCTACTAGTTTGGGGTAGAATTATTCCCTCAAACAACATCTGAAATTTTATTTATTAACAAATACACATGGCAGGAGGTGAGAAGATTCCTTGATATGAGAGAAGAAATAGTCCTAGAAAAAGCCCATTTAAAATGAATCTAAATAAAATAGAGATCGCAGTTTCATAGTATATAATGAGGTAAAAGTCTGGAATTTTTATCTAAAAAAAAAAAGATAAAAACTTAAGAAAATATGCTGGTAAACAGAATTTGGGTTGTCAATCTAACCATAAGTTAATTCTTAGAATCAATGAGTCGTGTGTCAAGTTTTGGGGCAAAAAAACAATTCCAACTGAACTGTACAACAGATAACACAACTTTACATTCTTCTCTTCAGGTTTAACTTTTTATTTAGATAAGAGTGAGATTTTTAAATTCTTTTCTTTTTTCTAACAGAAATAAATTCTGAACAAAAGACTGAGACTTCCACATCCCAACATGACTAACTGGTACTGGATCTGCCCTTTCTCTTTAACCATCTATTAAACTAAACAGAATGCAGGAGCCATTTTGAGCCTTGACAATAGGCACTGCAGGACTGGGATGCCTGAGAGCAGCAAAACACATGCGGTAAAGCCCAAATTGACCTTGGCCTCATTCCTTAGGATACTTCCCAAACGATGACACCAGGAGGTGGCACCCAAGCAAAGCATGGTGGTCTCATGAGCTGAGGAGCAGAGACAAGTGCTTGGGGGCAGCTGAAAAAACTGGAATTTATACGCCTGAGAATCAGAGAAAATAGGGGCTCTAGTAACCCATATGGAGTTTCTCTGTACATCCTGAGCTTGGGGCTCGCAGCCAATGCAAAGCGGAGACATAATCAGAGAGGTCACTTTAATGGAAGTCACTGGAGCTGCAAACCAGCCAGGAAGGAAGAAACTTGATAAACTTATTGGACATCCACTTAAGATTCCAGAATTTACTACATCTTATAGAGGCCATGCCCTACAGCAGGTATCAGCAAACTTTTTCATAAAGGGCCAGAGAATAAATATTTGTGGCTTGTGGACAATTTGGCCTCTCTTGCAATACTTAATTAACTCTGCCACTGTAGCTCCAAAGCAGCTAGAGCAGGGGTGGGCAAACTTTTTGACTCGAGGGCCAAATGGGTTCTTAAACTGGACCGGAGGGCCGGAACAAAAGCATGGATGGAGTGTTTGTGTGAACTAATAAAAATTCAAAGTAAACATCATTACATAAAAGGGTATGGTCTTTTTTTGTTTGTTTGTTTTTGTTTTATTCATTTCAAACGGTCCGGATCTAGAGACAATGCATAAGCAAATGAGTGCCCCTGTGTTCCAATACAACCTTATCTGCAAAAACAGAGGGAGGGCTCACCGGCTGTACTTTGCTAACTCCTGCCCTAGAGCAAAGGCCATGACCTAGAACTAAGTGTGAAATAAATACAGAGCCATCAAAAAATAAAATAAAATCAGACCTAATGAGGAAATATTATAGGCTGAGAAAATAATACTAGATAAACATCCAGATCTATATAAAAATGAGGGAAGGTAGGAGGGGAAGCGAGGGAGCATATCTTTTAGCATAGCTAAATAAGTCCCAGCATCTTTAGCTCATGGTAAAATGTGTGAGTTTCTGAAAACCCACTCTTGTCAGAAGTTAGTCAGAGGCCTAATGTTTAATAACATGGCCATGTGAAAAGAAATGTCACATAGTCAATACAAGGGAATGGAAGTGGGTACAGACCACAGATAAACATTTTGGTGTTGTTGTTTTTTTATCAAAACAATTTCAAAGTCCTCCAGTGGTGTCATAGGCAAAGCTAATAATTTCCTATAAGAGGCAGAAATTAAGCAAATGAGCTTTCCACTTCACATATTTAACCCACTCTCTATTAGAAAATAATCAAGTGCCTAAATGAAGGCTACACATTCTTTCTTTCAGAGGAAGAGAAAAAAAATCTGAAATTATCTGTTAAAAATTAGAGAAGCGTTTTTAGAAATACACTGGCTTGAGTGTAGTTATAAATATATTGGAAAATTAATTTGTTTTTCTAATAGCTTTATCACATTTTTGCATATGGTATCTATTCTGTCCTGAGAAAAATTGTTTTAACTTCATAAAAACTGAGCTATATTATTTGTAATGACTAGCCAAAAAAAAATATGTTTATTTGTAATTAGTTTATCTATAATCCCAATCAATACCAAGATTATCCTCAACTTCTTTCTGGAAAAGAGCAACTACATCCTTCTCAATGGTTCAATCAAAATCCTAAGGGTCCTTTGGGTTCTTACTTGTTACAGCCATCAGGCCTGGTGTCAGAAGGGCCAAGTACAGTGTCCATGAAAGTTGCAACGTTGGAAAATCCTGCTGGCAATTCATCCCATTCATCAAATTTGATGCCACTGCCCAAGGAGTAGGTGCCTTCACCACACTTACTGCATACCTGGTTCTTCATCTCTAGATACTCTCCAGAAGCACAGGAGAAAGCTGGAAGACAGAGGACGCATAGTCCATTAGTCTCCAGACACCCCCATCAATTCCCTCCCCTTCACACTGTCACCAGAATTGTTTTATAAAGTTCTGATCATGGCACACCCTAATTAAAGCTTTCCAAAGTCTCCATTATCTCTATTGACACTTCACAATCTGGCCTCAACCTGTTTACCAGCCTCAGCCCTTGCCCCACCCTTTTCCAACCATAACAGAATTCATATCATTACAAAAATATTTCATCTTCTTTTTTGCTGCTGTGGTTTTCCTTCTCCAGAGATGCTGACCAACCCATCTACCCTATTTGGAAAATTCCCATTTCTAACTCAAAAACAACCCTGTTCATAACAGACCTCCCTGCCCCCACCAGGCAGTCAGTTTTGCCTCCCTCTGTGCTCTTATCATACTCTTCTCATAATACATCTATAAAAAAGCAATATATAGGGTGTCCCAAAAGAATGTATGTACACACACTTTGAATAATTATAAAGGCAGTGTTTATTAAAATTCACTTTCAAAATTGAGCTTTTAGCTATTAAAGTGTGTATACATTTTTGGGATACCCTGATATATATGGGAGTCCCAAAAAATGTATACATACTTTGAATGATTATAAAGTCAGTATTTATTAAAATAAAGTTCTCTCATATATTATGGAGAGAGACACACACACACACACAGAGACATTAAACACAAATAGACACAGAAATAGATATAGATACTAATACCACTTATTAGTTGATGTGAAGCTTTGAGCTTCCAGAAAACAAGGATCATTATTTTGGGGTTCCTAATTGTAGCTATCAAATACTAAGGCCAAACAAAAGGTTGATGGAGTGAATGGGAATCTGACGTAAAGGGGATGCTGATGGCAGTACTTCACGTGCAATACTAAACAAGTATCTCCACTCTGGAACCATGAGCCGTCTTTTTCAATATTCATAACTATAACCTAGTCATTTCCACAGCCTACGTCTCATTACTGATGTCAAGTTCTCTGCTAATTCTGAGAGCTGTACCCAGAAGTCATGGGCAATGTGACTAATAGTTGACACAGTTACAGAAAAGAAGGTAGTGCTGCTCCTAAGTTATTATTCATTCAACAAATGCAAATCTATGTCCCCTGAGTGTGTCTCTCTGTGCTCAGGGTGGTATTACTGACTCCACTACAGCAAAGGGCTTTTTAATCCTTTAATCAGGATATTGTAGAAACAAGAACAAAATCAAACCTTCAAATTATCCCATAAAGAAAACAAATTTCCCAGCAGAGAGCGAAGCAGCAGAGCTCACATTTAGGTAGACGCTCCTTTTAGAATACATTTGGAAACTTACCAAAAAAGAAAAACACGTTAATTTTGAAAAAGTGAAGAATGAGAGCTAAAACCCGCACTCATCCACCTACTTAACCACTAAATAAATAAAATGAGATGAGGAGACCAATTCCAGTTCATGGGGCATGAATGACAAAAGGTTTATAGAAAAAAATACTACAACAGTGAAGGTCAAGGAAAGGAAACTGGTCAGAGTATTTGATGAGGTCACCAATGGGGGCAGAACAACACATCTGTGAAATCAGTTTTCTCAACTTCTAATTTATGTCCTAACATTGATTCTTATCCTCCTGAACTCTTCCTCTTAGGAAGTGTCAATCACCCTCTACTTCCTGGTAGTCTCTCTGTCCTTGATTCTGCAATTTTCAGGGCTGAGTTCTCTAATCTCCTTATAAAATGCTTGTTTTCAGAGGAGCTCACTCAAGCATAGCTCCCATCAAACACTACACTGATATAAAGCCTGATTTTGAGCTGTTCTCTTAATCTCTTTTGTCCTTGCCTTTGACCCACTACTTGTGTGTTGCTGAGCAAATTTAACTTCAACACTCTCCATACCTGGAATGTGATGCATTCATATTCCAAATTAGACCTACTGAGGACAAAGTGTTTCTGTCCTTTTACCTATAGAATGAACTTTTACAAATCTCATTAGATCTCTGTGTTTCACCTACAGAAAAGAAACACTGAAGTCAGTCTCTAATTTGATGATACCAAAGATATTCAATCAACAAATATCCCAGTGTTTGGAGCTTTCTTAGAAGTCTTGAGAGGATTATAGCTCCTCTCCTCTTGGAAAGAATAAAACACAATTCTATTTTAAATTAAGAATGTCTATAGTTTTAAAAAAATCAATATCTTCTAATACATGTTAAATAATGAAAGCATACTATATGTATCAAGCACCTAAAATTTTCTAGGCACAGAAATAAAAAAGCTAAACTTCTCATTGTTTATGATGATATAACTACAAATGTGCCTTAAATTATGAATGTTATTCTCTTACTTTTCAGAAACATGTACACAATTAAGAATAAAATTGCCCTGATTAAAAAAAAAAAAAAAGCTGAAGGATTGTATCGCCACCAAGCCTATATTATAAGAAATGTTGGAGATTTTTTTAAGAAAAAAAAAATGTCAAAGATATGAATATGGAAATATTGCAAAGAAAAAAATTATCAATGTCAAAGACAAATACATTATAAAAGCAAGTGGATCAACCTACACTAAAACTAGTACAAAGGTTAAAAGGCAAAAGTAGGGAAATCATGTGTAATTACAATAGTAAATTAAGAGATACACACAAACATACACAAGCAAAAGAAGTAAAAAAATAATGATAAAATATAAACATGGAAGGGTGAGTAAAAATGGTAGTAATTTTTAAGTGGCCATCAATTTAAAATAGACTGCTAAGAACAAAGCTTGATATATATGAAGGACATAGTAACCACAAACCAATGCTCTACAAGAGAGAACGAAAAGAAATCCAAACACAACACTACAGAAAGCCACCAACATACAAGAGGAGAGAGCAAGAGAATAAGAAAAAAACACAGAACTACAAAAACAATCAGAAAACAATTAATAAAATGCCAATAACTACATACCTATCAATAATTACTTTAAATGTACATGGATTAAAGGCCCTAATCAAAAGACAAACAGATAAAGAAGATGTGAGATATATATATAATGGAATATGAGTCAGCCATTAAAAGCATGAAATCATACAATTTATGACAATATAAATGAACCTAAAGGGTGTTATGCTAAGTGAAATAAGTCAGACAGAGAAAGACAAATACCATATGATTTTACTTATATGTGGAATATAAAAAATATAAATAAATAAACAAACATACAAAACAGAAACAAACTCATAGACACAGAGAACAAAATGATGGTTATGAATGAGAGGGGGGTTGGGGGTTTGGATGAAAACATGAAGGGATTAAGAAGTACAAATTGACAGGTACAGAATAGTCACAGGGGCATAAAGTATAGCTTAGGGAATACAGTCAATAATAAGATAATTGCACAGGTGAGTGCAAGACCTGCTGGGGATCACTTCATAAGTTACATAAATGTCTAACCACTGTGCTGTACACCAGAAACTAATATAATATTGAATGTCAACTGTAATTTTAAAAAAAAATTTATGTAAATATAAGTTAGAAAAAAATAAAATCTACAAACAGATCATTAATCAATTAAAATGAGCTACAAAGCCATATATCTGATATTTAAATGCCATCTTTTTAAAAATCCACTTACCTATTTTGGATATTAGTTTGCATGGCATTTCTGTCAAGAGGTAAAGGTTGGGGGAGCATGGATACCTCAAGAAGGGGACTAACACTTGTTGAGCATACACTGCAGTGCATTCCAAAGAGGCAGAACACCATGGGGTTAAGAAGATGGACCCAGGGAGTTAGACTGCCTGGTTTCAACTCCCAGTTCTGCTTTTGACCTATCTGTGTGAGGTAATACAAGCACCCATTCACCAGAGTGTTGCAATGACTAAATGAACTGGAGAAAACACATGTAAAGCATTTGCAATCATGTCTTGCATATAGCAAGTAAAGATTGGCTATCATAATTTTTCATTATTATCATTACTACTAGTGGCCCAGTGCACAAATTCATGCACACTGAAAGAAAATTAATTAGAAGAAAAATTTTAATATCGCTATTCACCCTTTCTCTATAATAGAAGTGTCAACAAAATTCATGATCGACAATGACAGATCAAAACACACTCATGCGATTGGCGCCAGTGAGAGTTTTATATGTATCACACATGTGCGACTCAATTTAGCCATATATATATATATATATATATATATATATATATATATATATATATATAATAAACTTGCTTAATTAGACCTTGCTTAACGTAGCTAAACTTTTCCCAGCCCAGTGAAGCACCCCAACTTCTCTTTCAGGTAATTGTCAGCAACACAGCAATAAATATCAACATGGAGCAGATTATTATTGTAGGTCATGCAGGGAGAACAAAAGGTAAAATATTTAACTGCAGCAGTGTTTGACTATATTCTGCACAGTGAGATAACCTGAAGTCATTTTCAAGGTCCACCATTTCTTACTTCTTTTCAGTTGGGTCAAGTTTCTAAGCTTTCTAAATCTCCGTTTTCTGGCTAATGAAAAGAAAATAGGATTCTACCGAGTCTCCTATCTACCTACTCCAGGACTTCTGTGAGGATCAAATGAGATGAGGCATGGGAAAATGACATTTGGTTAAAGTGTGAAATGTTTTCACCTGGCTATGAAGCAAGTCATGTTCCTGGGCTGAAGAAACTGCAAGGAGGCTAATTACTAGGGAGAGGAAGCTGGGCATTGCTACGTGATGTCATTACCTGGATGGTCAGACACTTAGCATATTAGCCTTTATATATATAGATGAAGTTAAATTATTACTAGAGGCCCGGTGCATGGATTTGTGCACCAGTGGGGTCCCTTGGCCTGGCCTGTAGGGATCGGGCCAAAACCAGCAATCCAACATCCCCTGGGGGGTCCCAGAGTGCGAGAGAGCACTCTGCAAAGTTGCTGTCACTTGGCAACTCCTTCGTTGAGCGTCTGTCCCCTGGTGGTCAGTGTGCATCATAGCTACCAGCCAGTTGGCCGGTCAGCTGGTGGGCCGGT